AACCTTTTTTTTTTTTAGTATTTGTACTTTACTTGAGTATTTCCATTTTATGCTACTTTACATTTCCATACATCCACTTAATTTCAGAAAAAAACACATTTTGCTTTGTACTCCATTACATTTATTGACACCTTTGATTACTTTAAGATGAATGTTTCGCACAAAGCGTTTAACATACAACACACTGTTAAATATTTAATCATTGCTTTCCAACTTTTTTGGCGTCTAACGTCTTAGAAAAAGAACAAGACCATCAGATCTGACTTTTCCTTCTACATGTTTTATACAGTTATATTTTCGTAAATGTTCAAATGATCCAATATCGCAACAAAAATCAAAACCCAAAATCTAAAACCAGATTTGTGTATCAGAACTTTAGGTTTTCTTTTCTGCTCATTTTGAACTCCAGGTCCTACCTTCTTTCCATATTTAGCTTGCACCATTGTAAATTAAACTGTGTATAAAGTAGTTCAAGGTGGCTCCACCTGCAGAAACCCACTGATGCTTCAGTTTTAATGATCTAATCATGTCATATATAATAATGCATCAGTCACAGGGACCAAAGATTTAATACTGCAGCTACATTGCACAATACTTGTGTACTTTTGCTTCAGTAGGATTTCACATGAAGGACTTCTATTTGTAATGCTGGACCAATGGGCGTGACTGCAGCCAGATCAGTAGGTGGCAACAATTTAATGACATAATTACTGATGACCACTTGTCACTGCTTTACAGATAAAACTGTTAATTCAGCATGAACGTACTTGCTCATCCGTCAGCTGCATCTAATGTAAAGATGCTTCTGAAACAAACTGAGCTTGTCCACTACAGATGGCCACACTACTGTCAGTGTCAAATCATTTGACCATATCAGTGCCTTACGTGGCTGATTGAGCTTAAGGCTGAAAGCGGTGGGAAACTGTCGGCTTAGCTCCATCCAGAGAAAAATGTTGAACAACTCCAAACGCTACCGTTGGAGGCAACACGCTGCCCCTGAGTGAGAAACGTTGTCCACCACCGCAAACACCAAAACCCTCTCAGCTCTGCCTCTCTGACTACAGCAGCTCCAACACCGCTCACTCTCATCTTTACCAGTGATTCAACATGTTGGAAGACTCACAAAGACTCACTAACCGAAGCTCCAAACACAAAGTATCACTAGAAGGAATGCGTCTTCTGGCCTGAGTCACTACCACCTTTCCAGAAGCTGCATGTATTGTTGATGAAATGTGCCGTAAGCTGACATTTAACTGGTACATCGATATTTAACTGTTAAACTATTTAACAGGTTTGATGTTTGCTGCTTCTTCACCTGCCAGTGAAGCTTATCTACAACTTGTCAACACAGTCCTCTCTTATTGTCTAAAAAAAAAAGAAAAAAAATCAATTTTAAATCTGACAAACAGGCTGAGAAGCAAGAGGCCGTCCAGCTTCCAGGTGAGAAGTCGTGTCAGGACACGCTCAGCCTCGCAGCGGGCCGAGGCAGCAGAGCGAATGGAATCAACACTAATGAGAAATCATCTCATTAGACATCAGTGCAGCGTGTTGAAGCTAAGCTGATCAGTGTCTGCCATCTTCTCCCACACAGATTAATGCCTGTGGAGATATCGCAGCAGATCGCTCTCAGCTGGTGCGGGCTGGTGCTGAGAGTGATTCAGCAGCTGGAATACAGATCGCTCTGTCAACTGCTAACAGTTAGCAGTCAGCTGCACAGGGGCAGGGTGAGGTCAAGGAGACGTTCTGGGCTTATACGGGATGATTCTGCTTTTTTTTTAATGGCTGTTTTGCTAATTTATATCGCACAACATAAGCAGTATTTCTGCTCGATGCTTCATCACCTCGTTGATCTGCTTCTGGTCGTATTAGTGCAACAAAGGCATGAATCAAGAGAAGGAGTCGAACCTCCGCTCGCTCAGCTGCTCGACTCCCCCCACGCTGCTCTTCCAGCCGCGTACTCTGCTTTTAACGCGGCTGAATTGCAATATAGTCGCTCTCATTTGCATATTTTTCTCATAAAAATGAACCAAAGTACAGGTAAATAACAGCAAATGCGCCGCGGCGAGATTGGCTGCGCTGACATTTAAAATGAAAGTTTGCTGCCCCATCTGCCTGCCGGTGAGCGCGTCG